TCTCTCAGCAGTTCCCTTAGGTCCTCCTCACTGACACGGTCGCCCTTTATGACGATTACACTCAGGATGACTATCAGGAGGTTCCCTTTGGGAATGACCTGGACATCGTCATCCAGGATCCCCTTGTAAGTGAGGCCCAGGACAGGGAGAAGCTCGTATGTCTGGCCAGGGGGATCCACTTCCCTCAGCTCAATGCCAAAGCCCAGACACATGCACTGACAGAGTTCCCTAAAGATCAGAGGGAAGTGCTCATGGTAATCATCATCCACAACGTGCAGCATTTCCTCCATGGTGATCTGCTCCTTCTGTTGATACTTGCGGAGCAGGAATGGCACCATTTTATCCAACTTGTCATTTGGTAACTCCTGCCTGATCTGAGGGGCCTCCTTGTCCTGCGAGGGACTTGGACCCTCCTCCTCTTGCCCGCCCGAGCCCTCACTGCACTGGCTCCTTTGAGTGGCAGCCATGGCACTGGGGGGAGAGGAGATGCCCTGAGGATTCTGAGGACAACTTGGTGTCCCAGGCCCAGGCTTTTCTATTGGTGTGGACGCGATGACAGTAAGGGAGGGAGAGGATAGAGAGGAAGCGGAGGCTGCTGCTTCCCCCTCATCCTCGAGACCCTGCACACTCATGATGTCCCCTGCACTACTTTGGGCAAGATGCTCTCCCCGTAGCTTGCTGTCTTCGCTCTGCTGACCACCGGGCATCATGATGTTCCAAGCTGAGAGCAAGATCTTGTTGTTGAAGCCTCAGATGCCTGGAGGAGAGAGGGAAACTATTAGTGTTCTCAGATGAGAACAACACACTTGTTGCCTCCCATAAAGGGCCATTATAGCTCTTCTCCTTGAGGGATGCTCTAGGGTTTCATAGGCTCCTGTACGCCCTGGTTCTTGTCCCCATGATTCTGGAACATGAAGCGAGGCTGATTCTTAGGCTGCAGTTGAACTGCAGAAGACCAGGTTCTAGGGTATACAGTATTCTGAGGTGTCCTTGCTCCAGAACAGGCAGAACCCTAGGTACACATCAGAACATGCACCTCACCTTGTCTCCTGGGCCTCCTCTGCTGTGTGACCCTAGGAAACTGCTCCACCCCAATACCTTCACCTCCTGGGTCTTGGAGTGCCTATGAGTGCCATGTACGGATCCTCAGGCTTCAGACCACAAGCACAGTCCTGCTCCCTGACCCTTCATGGTAGGAGTGGGCTGGACTCTGTGAGTTCCCCAGTATTCTGGGTGAATGGTCTCCTCTCTGCTCACTCAGGGCCCTCAACTGTCCTTCAGCAAGGCCTCGACCCCAGTCCTCTGCTAGGCTGAGGCAAACTCCAGGAAAAAATGTCTCCCTTCTTGATAGGGAACAAAGACACCACAGGGACACATATATCTGGCCACATTGTTCTGGGGGCAACAGCTGGAGATGGAAAAATTCAATGGGGTCCATGTGCCCTAGAAAAGGGAACCTGTTCCATCTTTATTTTGATAAGTGGTTAGGTCTAGGACCCTCTCTTCAGTGACTTGGAACCACTTTCTTTAAAACACAGCAATATTGCTGTAAGACATTCAACAGGGAAGTGGGTGAATGCAAGTCCATCTATGTTTCTTGGGTCTGACTACAAATAAGCAAAGGGACAGGCTGAGGCTAGGGTACTTTGTGTTCTGGTGAGTGGCTTCTCTCTGCCTCATCTAGATCCTTGATAGACCCTAGGATCCTACATCTGCTCTCCTGGTTCTACCCTCCTTGTACCAAGGCCTTGACCTCACTGAGATCAAAGACCCAGAACTAAGAGAACAGTCTTAGTCTGACTGCCCTGCTTAGGCTTCAGGAGATGACAGCAAGCACAGGTCTGATGTCAGAGGACCACCCACCTGCCTATGTTCAGGTCAAGAGTGTCCTATATCCTCCCTTAAGATCCTCATCTTGACTCTTGGCAGATCCTGGGACACCTTTGTGTCTCCTGACCAGATAGGGTTCCCTGTGTCAACTTGAAGATACTAACTCAGGTCAAGTCCCTTACCTCCCTAAGTTCTTCAGCATTCTGAAAAGAAGTGAGCAAGCACTCATTATGTCACCCCTTCATGGGGACTTCAGTGCTGACCATAAGACCTGTACCCATCTTTCCTGTGATGCCAACCCGATATGGTTTAAGTCTAGATTTCCTCCAAACACCCCATGAGATCATAGGCAGGACCTTTGCAAAGTCATTGTATAATGGGGGCTTACTGTTGACATGCTGTTAAGAGGTGGGACCTTTATTTATTTATTTATTTATTTATTTATTTATTTATTTATTTTTGGTACCAGGGATCGAACTTGGGTCTTTGTGCTTGCACAGCAGGTGGTAAA